AAAGCTTATCTTGGTCTTGCCCCAGATTAAATTTCTGGGATGCTCACCCATTATGAGGCATCTTAGACTTTATGTCCCTTAGGAGAAAATTGTCTTGCAGCTAGTTGAAACATAAAACAAAGAGAGAAAAAGAAACATGGACCCAGGTAAAAAAAACAAAACACAAATATATACTCAAAAATACTTGAATACACTAATCAACAGCAGGAACCAAAAGTGTGTACCATTGCTAAAACCCCTTTTTCATACCCCAGCAGTAAAAGAAAATACTGATCAGTCTGATCGTCACGAAAATGTAAGAGTTGCTGGCCTGAGAGATTCCTTTAAGTTAAACCAGTAACATATCGATATTGGTAGTGTGACTCTCTATACAGAGAATAGATCTGCAAATTATGACCAAATATCCCCCCCCCCCAGAATGAAATTTCTCAAGAATTTATAATGAAACACCAAGGACACTGATTTAGCAAGTAGGCTATGATTGGATCTTCTCAGGGACTATTCACACTGAAATACAGATTTCAAACTGCAACAACTCTTCAAAGAGGTCTGTAGATACATTTCCACGAAATGGCCTGTAAGTAGCCTTGTATTGCTGCAAATACCCAAGGACAGTCTAAACTTCCACTGCCTCTCTCTTATCTGTAAGTCACTATCAAAGATCATCGAGCCATGCATCTCAATGAGGGCTTGATTGATTGGTTGGAGCAGAGCAGAGGCAGGGTTCGATCTTTGCCCTCCGGTCCTGAGAAGGGAAATATGGTCGGAGGGACACAGTCACACAGCTACACAGTCCTCTCTCCATCAACGACATGATTGGACACATACATGCCGTGCCATGCCCACACCTGATGGAGCAATCGTGGTGGCTAATGGAGAAGATGAGAAAGTGGAAGAAAGAAAGAGAGAGGGAGAGAAATGGAGGGGGTTGTGTGCTGATTGACCTGTGGTCACAGAGGTTATGTCCATTGATCTGCAGGCCAGAAGAAAAGGGTTTTGGCCTGAGGAGCTTCTGAATGAGTCTATTTGAGGTTTAGGATTCCTGTCTGTTCCCACCAGGTGCTTTTTCATCATCTGACTTACAGCTGCTGTCTCCTGTTGTCTGCGTAATGCACAGAGCACTACAGAGGCCAAAGGCCAATCAATGCTCTACAAGAGGTTGATACAGATCTTATTAGTCAATGAATGATCATTAGTGGTCTAACGAGGCATTGATTCCTGCATGGGCCAAAGGTTGCGGTGGTTGTGGTGAGTGTCTTTAATACATTAAACACAATTGATTGCAGAGGAGGAGGGAGAGTTTTGAGGGATGCTGGAATTGGATTGGACAGTGAGAGATTTGAGGTCAAGCCAGGAGAGGAAGTAAACCTTTGTCGGTCCCTGAATGTGGTTAGGATTGAACATGGAGCCCTAAGCAGCACATTTGTCTTTTATGTATTGCCGGTGTGTAGCAAAACTGCAATTAATAAAAAGCAGATATGTAAAAAGTCAAAGGCAAGTGGACTTGCTCTTTCAAAGGCTTGGAACAGCAGCCTTTAAAGCTGAGGAAATGACTCTGCTCATAGCAGATGTGTTACTACAGGGCCTATTATGTTGCTCATTAAATACCCAACCTCTCAATAGGCCATTATTTCCCCAATAAAAAACAAACGGCGGCCTGCATACTTTCCCTTCTCCCCCCTCTGCTTCAGAGGTTACTTCTACCTCACAGACGGCAAAAAAGCCTGACTAATATCCTGCATGTGATGCTTTTAAATAGGAAGCAGGCCGCGGGATAGGGTGGAGTACAGGTGTGGCAGGAGCCAATGGCTTTTATAGCCCTCAATCTCCTCTGAAAATGTGCCAAGGACCTGCCTACACAAACCCACCGCTGCAGTGTTAGCCGCCAAGCGTTAACTTCACTCTCCTCGCCAATCTCTACATGCCTACTGGTTATATAGAGTCTGTGCTTGTTACCACTTTATGGAGGGATTTCTGATGTGCTTAGAGAATTGTTTGATGATTGGGATAATGATGCCAGTTGGAGTGAGTCGTCTCAGCACTGCGAACGCTGAGAAAAACAGACCCAGCTGACGCAGAAAAAGCTCCCTGCTCCCTTGTACATTCCCCTGCCATTCAAACCCGTCTAATCCCCCTCACGTCAATCAGAATTAGACCATGTCCACAGGTTTGTCACCGGGGGGACGTTCGTCACCATGCTCTCCCTGTAGAACAGCCTTTTCATGCCCCAGCATAATGTCAGCGGGTGACATCCTGGTCTGATGTGATGTGGCATTCACTAAAGGTCACGTTAGGCATCTCCGCTCTGTCTGCATCAGCAGAACTGGCAGCCGTCATATGGGCGCTGGCATCGACCATTACCCAGGCCCTCAGGGGGGTCTTCATGCTTTGAGGATTTGTCAGTGGGATCCTGATCTCTCTGTTTAAGTGTTGAGCGCTGAACATGGACCAGTCAGATTTAGGTCTCTGATGCAGAACAATAGAAGCTGGATTTAACCATCAATCATACAAGGAGTTAGGAGGAAAGAGATATTGTGTTTTCTTTCAAAACATGAACTTTACTGTCTGATGATGCTCTTGATATTGGGGATGGGGGGAGATATATCAGAGGTTGTTTTGCCTAAGGGGTTCCTTCTCTTTAAATCTATCTGAGAGATAATTTGGGGGTGGTCTTGAGAAACATTAATGCTTGTCTTTGGATTCCTCCCTGAAAAACATAATAATAATAAACAGATTAATTTTACAGGGAAATTTGAGTCTATTTTTTGTTCTCCAATCACTCATCAATGCTAGATTGTAAACTAATAATGAAAATTAAATGTGAAGGGTGTCATAGTGTCACAAAAGGGGACACATTTTGTACAAGAATTAGAGGTGGCTTTGAAGAGAGGCCCACCCTTTCCACAGGCCCAGAATATTGTGCTATTCTTTTATGTATAGTTGATAAGAGTAATACAATTTTGCCACTCTCATCACACATTTCGTTTAATCAGAGCAAGACAAAAATTTTGCAGAAGCATTTCCTCAGTGGGATGAGTAAGGGAAGAAAGTAAAAAGCAGCTGGACAAAGGCTAGACATCCAGGAGAGGAGGTCCTGAACTGGCGAGACACAAAGACTGAAAAAGGAAACAATCAGAGACACAGAGCCGGTGAATCCATCTGGAGACGGGCCAGTTGTACTTAGCACATATAGAGGGAGGATCCATCCCTGCCAGTTGCCGTAGTGAGGGAATAGTTAACAAGCCCCACAGGCAGCTTTTACAGCCCCCTGTTGTGTGTCTGAGACCCCCCAGGCTGAAGAGGGGCTGAGGCTGACTCACACTGACAGGGTTTATGTGGGCAGGGGCGCAGGGCGGGCGATGGGGGCTGGAGACGTGTAAAAAGGTGGTCATGAACCAACAACTGTCACTTACGAGAGAGTCAAGCCTCAGCTAAAGCATGCACGCACGAACACAAACACGCACATGCTTAAAATCCAAACATGCAGCATTCAATCTGATGTTTGTTTGGAGCAGAGGTGATGTGTGTGGAAGGGGAGGGGGGCTTATCCAAAAAGTGGACCAATAAAACACCTGAAAATCAAATCCCATTGCTCTTATCGGGCGCCATTCAGAGACGTAATCTGTGCAGGTAATGTGGTTATAAATTCAATTTCAGCCCAGAGATTTCATTGTTTACTGATGCCTGCATGTTCCAGGCGGCAGAGCGCAGAAAGCCCGGGAACGCTCGATGCGTGTCGGGAAAAGTCATTTAGGCTTCCGCAAGGGGATGCAAAAAAGGCGAGAGACGGGGGGATGTAAACAGGAGAGCTGTCACTTTTTCCCAAGGACACCCGACTCCTTTCTATTTTCCACCCAATGTTTTATTTAGAGGCCATTTGGTGCTATTTGGTTCCTCATTAGGAGGGCTCATAGCTACACTGATGTCAGGGGACAGCACCTGAACACAGACAAGAGTTTTGAAGCCTGTAAGGTCTTTGGTCATTTGGAGAGGAGCTCTGGAAAAGTGTTAGTCCAGTGTGTGGATAATAGGGTGGAAGTTAGCTTCACTATGCTCCCTGGAGAGGACTTGGAAACTGTCAAAACACTCATCTGCCTGTAATTTTCAACACTGAAAAGTGTTAAATTGTTTTTTTCCAGCCCTGTCATTTGTTTTCACTTGACTGTGGGATATTAGGTACATCTTGCCTACGAGCTCCCTGCATGTGATTGATGGCTTTCAGGAGTAAATCACCTCATCTACTAGGTAAAATCTTGATATAGTGGAGCTCCACCGGCTCCCAGCTGGCTGCTTATGGCAATAATCCATCAATGGGGCCCAATGAGCCGAGCGGCCCTCCTGGGTAATGTTCCTATTGACAGGCTATGATGTCAACACTCTGACAGCAGGGGGGCATGGCAGTGTGTCTGTGCGTTTATGTGTGTTTGTAACCTGATTTTACTCGTCGCTGTCTGTCAATAGTATGGAGAGGGCTAGCAAACACACACACATACAGTACATACACACAGTAGTTCTCAGGAGTTAGAAATTAATGAGCAGAGGTGTCATGGAGGAGAATGTGACTCCAGCTCAAGTTCAGCTTCCTCCCTCTCACCTTATTTCCTGTCAGTGTCACCTATTCACTCTCGGCTGTCTAAGGTAAACTGCCCTTAAATTGAATAATAATGGTAATTTTTGACGGTATAATTATTTCTGTTCTTCATAAAAGTCCTCCTGTAAAAGTGTTGAATGTGATGTTGAGCGGCTTAGGCTCCAGTGGACACTTTTTAAAAAACTGACCAAAGAAATGAAACTAAAAATATAAGAAAGGGAGAAACTGTTTGAAGACTAAATACTTCAGAACATTTTCAAATCTGAATATCTCTGAGTACCAAATGAAAAGAAAGCATCCAGCATTATGTGTTCATGCTGTTAAACAACATCTCAAAGCCTCGAAATACAGACATGACCATTTTATCTGCCGCACCTATTTTAAATTGTTTTTTTCTCCTGTCATCCAGGTAAAGTGAAGGGTCTTTATGACGCTCAGGCCCCTATGTGTCCAGTCTGCCAGGCTGTTCTGAGACCGGGAGATCTGCAGGAACACATGGAGCAGGAGCTGAACAAACTCACCCAACTACAGATCAGGTATTTGATCTAATCATAAGGTCTGTCTGTCTGATTTCCCTTCAATTCAATTTATTCTTTTGTAAATATTTTGTATCTTCTTCCACTATTTTTGAGGCAGGTTTTATCTAAGATTGGTTCTTTAAATCCTCCTTCAAACTATATTCTATTTTTCCAATCCATTATTCATCTCTGTTTATCCATTTGTCATTTTCTTCCTGTTTTGCAACACACATTCCATTCTGTTCAACATTCAAGTGATAATTAATGTTGACAGATTATAACCCCACACACACACACACACTTTCCTCAGATGGTATCCATCTTCTCTGTCACCTGCGCGCAATGTTTACAAGCTGCCTCATTGTTTCCTACATATTTCATATTACAGCCTGCGGCCTCCAGGCGACAAATCATACAGCGGGAGGATAATGTCCTGCTAATGGTTGCTTTGAGCCCTTCAGACACACAGTGACAGTGTAAAACATACAAACGAGGGCCAGAGGTGCACACACACACACACACACACACACACACACACACACACACACACACACACACACACACACACACACACACACACACACACACACACACACACACACACACACACACACACACACACATTACCTGCTGCAAAGACCAGAAGAATGATTCCTCCAATAAAGACATTACACTCCAAATCTGCTTAACGACCGCTCCATGGACAGTAATGCTTTCAAATTGAACTTGGCCCACTGGGACATTATGTGTTTGTGTGTGTGTGTGTGCGTCCGTGTGTATGAAGTTTGTGTGTATTGCAGTATCTCTGTGATGGACATAAAGTGTAAATGAGGTTATACACAGACTCAGATACAAATTTAGACAAGATACAAGCAGACGTTATTTATATGATGACGTCTAAAAGACAATATTGTGTTTGTCTTTTTAAAGAAACAGCGCATGTGATTTATGTGTTTTTCAAGCTTGTTAAACTTATGATCCGTCTTCGTTTATTTATTTTTTTTGCCTTTCCCCCACAGTGTCACTCCAGCGCAGCACGACCACCTCATGAGGACGCCAAAGGTAAACACCTGAAATCTTTGTGACTTTACAGACAACACTGCAGTTTCCATCCTACAGTTGACTCTCTTTATTTATGTTCTTTCTCTCATTTTCTCTCCAGTCTATCTCGCTGTCCTTTCATATCAAACGTGAAGGAGCTTCTCCTACCTCGCCCCCGCGACCATCTGAGGACACCAACTCTGACAGATACCAGGTGAGAAAGATGGAAGAAAAACACCTTGAACGATTTTAAGAAAACAAGATTAATGAAGTTACAGGATTGTACTTAAAATATGTATCATTTTGTTTAAATAGTTAACACTTGTTGAGTGTTTACACTAACAAATATATAATAAATATATAATAAATACACCGTTGTATTTCATTTTGAACCAGAGTTATTTACATAGACTGTATATTTTTTAGGTTCATAGAACAGGAAATAACCAAAAGAATCTGTTATTTTGAGGCACTTCTTTCAGCGTCTTGAACGTGTCACTTCTAAATGAGTGTACAAAATACTATAGATTAGTGTTTACTCAGGAGCACTGGATAACTAGTAATTAGTTTAAGTCAGTAAGTGAGTAAAATTCCTTGTATGTGTGAGCATACCTTGCCAATAACACTGATTCTGATTCTGATTCTGATTCAGTGATTCACTAGTTTAAAGACGAAGGCTGACCAAAGCTGAGCTCAACACTCAACACCACATTTAAAAATTCAAAGTTAAATATAATTAAACAGCTCAAACAAATATTTCATTTCACACCCTACATAAGCACAAGACTTTTTTTTTTAAATATATTTTACAGATAGAAATAATAATACTCTCTGATGTTGCTGTGTATGTTTGTTGCAGACATTTCTCCGTGTGCGGGCCAACAGACACACCAGGCTCAATGGTATGTTGATGCATGCAGAGAGGACTAACGGTTGTGTTTCACCGCTGCTGACTTTGTGTTTTTATTTAGAAAAAAAACTCAGGACTGTAGACTCTGTCAGGTCTGCAGCTTCTTAGCTTTAAAAAAAAAGTAAGGAGTCAGAGTTTCCCTTCCCGTGTCGTCCAATCCTCACCCCCCCTCACCTTTCATTCAGATATCCCCCTTTTTTTTCCACCCCCTCAACATCTCTACCGGCCTAGCGCCCACACGAGCAGAGGAGCTATTAACCTTACAACTTTGACCTCTTGATATGTTAACAGTTGATGACCTCTGCTGGTGCAGGTGCTACGTCAAATCCGCCCCATTACGCCCCCACAGCGCAGGAGCCCACCTAGACTGCACACAAGCCGGTAAGACACACCTAGAAGCACTTTGTCTGTTACCAAGTTGAACCATAATTATGCAGCTATTTGAAAAAATAGCCTTGATTTTCCAATAAAGGCCTCAGAAATTATAGCCTGTGAAATGTTTTACAAATTGGAAACAATACGATAAACTTCCACTGTCCAATAAAAACCATGTTGCTCTATATGTCAGCTTTAATGAATATGAACATGTTTTAGCTTTCAGCCAGCGTTCTTGTGTTTCGTGCTTCCCCTAACATGATAGTTATATAAACTTAAAGTTGCTGTACTATTTGTTAAGTGTAGCTGCCATCACTAAGTGATGAGTTAAAAAATACAAGTACAATGGGAATGAGAACTAGGGATATTTCACAACTGATTCTGATTTTAAAAAAATTCTCATGAATTTAAACTTTAAACTGATCTATGCTGCAAAGTTAATGATTTAGAAAATATCACTAAACCCTTTTCTCTATTTCAGGCACACAGGTCATTATTCACATTTAAATAAGGAATTAGGAAAACAACAGACATCTGTGTCAAGGTTTCTGAAAAGCAAGTGGAATTACGTTTTTCTGTTATAAGACAGCAATTAAACAATAGTTAATAAGCTTATAAATTAACTTTAAAAAAATAAAAGAAACCATTTCTGCTGTCCTCCCAATTGATTTTGACTCAACTGGCCGTCTTAGAAGTGAATCATATTAGCGGTTGTGCACTGATACAGACATGCAGACAGTCCTTACAGCTGCGGCTGACGTCTTACTCCTGTTATTATTACCGCTGAGATTGTTGAGCTCTTCGCTGACTCTTCAAGATGCCACTGCTGTCGAGCTCTGTTAGCCTTTATTGGGCCTTATAACAGGACAGCATAATGAGCTTCTAAATACATGTCAGGGAGGGAGAAAGAAGAAGAAGAGAGAAGGGGGGGAGGGGGATCTTTGTTGATTAATCAACTTCTCTCTATCTCGCTCTCTCTCTCTCTCTCTGTTTGATGAGCTCTTCCCCGTCTATGACCGTCTCTTTAACCCTCATTATGTGTAGTGGGATGGCGGTACTCAGGTCATGGCCACCAGCTCTGTGTGTGTGTGTGTGTGTGTTCCCCCCTTCATCAAGGCTCACTGTCAACCTGAGTGGGAATTAGAAGACACTAAAACTTAATGTCCCCCTGTGCAATCCGCAGTCGGTCAGGTCACAGGGAGAGAGGAGGTGCAGTTGGTGTTCTGCCGTGTTAACTTTTATATCGAGGGAGGGGGGGGCTAGGATGACATCAGAAGGATGGGGGAGGAATTGTGTCTCTAGCGCAGTTGTTGTACAACAGACAAACCAACAGATGTGTGCTTTCTGGATATTAAAAGTATATGTAGTTTCACTGCAGGGTCTGTATGTGGATGTCGCCGACTCTGAAAGAAGCTCAATCATATATCATAACAGAAACATGTTTGTGTGCTCATTAATTCTGTTTTAAACTGGATTTTTTTTTTTTTTTTTGACAATACTTGTGGTATAAAAGTGGATATTGTTACAATGTTATGCATGCAAAACGTAATAATTATGAAGTGTCCATGCTTGGTCTTAGAATGTGATGCTTATTATGTTTTATGTGAGGCAATTTGAATTTCCTTGTCAGTGAAACGTGTTATATGAATAAACGTGCCTTGCCTTTGAACCTGATTTCCTGATGTTTCGAAATGATACAAATTCCACTTCAAGAAGAAGTTTTTGTATGATTTTTATTGAGTCATTAACAATAATGTTAAATATATGGATATTTGTCACTTAAATTGGCTAAACAATTCAAATAAATCTTTGTACAATCACTCTTCATCATGTTCAAATTTATCACATAAATAGTTACTTTTTTAGGAGATTTTTTAATAACTGAAGGCATAAATGAAGGTTGCTGAAAATTAAAATAACTGCATAATTCACGTTGGTGTTACCACTGTAGCTAAGACTTCACATCTAATAAATTGTTTTACTGTCACAGGGTTACTAATGGACACCTTCAATCCATTTTGTTAACTGAAAATGACTGCAATGTAATTCAAACAAAATGTAAAAAAATAATAATAATGACACAACAGTGAAACAGTTAAAGAATATATATATTTTTTTTTTGTGTACCTGTATTTTTATAAGCAGAAGCATTGTTTTTATATAAAAATGTTGCTTACTGTAAGTCACAGAGCACGTCAGTCTTTTGGTAAAAGCCCCTTGTTTAATCTTTGTCAGGAATAAATTAAGTATGTTTATAAAGTTTAAGTGGTACATTATTTATTTTTTTCTGTGAAACGAAATCATAAAGAGATCATTTAAAATAAATGTAACTTTCAGATTGTCTGTATTTATCTCATCTATCTCCATCTTCTGTCTGTTCTCAGTCAGGATCGGAAAGCTGAAGAGAAGGAAACCAGAAGAGGGACAGGTGCGTTTTTTTTTTTTTTTTTTATCGAAGAGGACAACAGTATTGTTTCCTTGACATTTTATTGTAATAGGACATAAATATACAGCTGAGCAGATCCCAGGTTAAGAGGACAATGGTCCACCCCGCCCTGACACTGTTGACTGTTTCTGTTCACATAGCATCAGGATCACAGTCAGCTGGCTGTGTATCCATGTGAACACACAGCTATGAAAACACAGGAGCAGATATGTAGCTTGAGGCTGTAAGATGTACATGGACAGATTCACAGGGACAGATGTTACATTATGTGTTTGTGTGCGTGTGTGTGTGTTTTAGGAGGACTTGGTGCCGTTAGAGGACAACTGGAACGAGAAGAGAAGGATACAGATGACATCTATAGTTGGAGGGTTTAAAGGTAAGCATAATGTGTGTGTCATAGGTGTGTGTGTGTCATAAGTATGTGCATGTGTGCGTGTGCTGTGGAGGTCGCCGTATAGCTGATCTTGTTGAGTGGAGGGTGAATGATGTGGCTGAGTGGCAGCTAAAAATCACTGAACTTTTCAGTCCAGATTACAGCAGAGAACAATGCCTTGAAGGTTAACTTAAAAGTAACGGCTTCCTTTACCCGAGCAGGAAGCTCTGACCTGCTAACTTGTTATACAACGACTGACAGACACAAGCACAGGGATAGAAGGACAAGCAACCTAACATTTTGGGATTGAAAAGTTTGTTTTAATTTGACCTGAAATAAGAACAGAACTTAAAGAACTTCTGTACTTGTCTTCGTCAAACAACTTCATTCTGAAGTTTTATTTTTTAATGGGACAAACTTTGTGTTGACGTTTGTATGAAAATGTTTCCTCAGCTGCAGTACTGGTGAGCACAACCTCTAAAGAGTGCAGAGACAGCGATGCAGACCTCGACGTGGATGGAGACGACACTCTGGAGTACGGCAGAGCGCAGTATCCTTATCACTGCACTAAAAAAAGTTTTAAACAGACACGAAATTATAAATTTCCACATTTTAAGATCAAAAAAAGTTGGCCATTACTTAGAGCAGAAAACTTGTTAAAATGTAACCAACAATAGGTCTATCTATCAATTTCTAAAAACATTTAGATAAACAGTAGGTACATTTTCCAGTTGTTTACAGGTTAAATAAGTTTAATAGTAGTTTTCAGGCTTGTATTGTTCTATATTTCCTGACCTTTTACTGTAGATACACAGAGACAGATGTAATCCCCTGCTCAGGAGAAAGCTCCAAAGAGACAACAGTGAAGTATGTATCCGACCTGATAGTGAAAATGATTAAACGAAAGGCTGCTTGTTTCAGTCTATTGTGGGTTTTTTTTTTTTGCTATTAAATGTCTTCATTTTCATTTTATTTATAGCAGCAGCAGCAGCATGTTGCCAAACTCCAGAGTGAACCCCGAATTCTCCAAATGGTCAAATGATGGTGAGTTTAGTCAGCTCTAAGTAAATGACTAGATGAAATAAAGAAGACGGGATAATAGAATAAGATGTTTGATTTGTTCATTCCTCCACACAGGGAGCCCGTCTACTAGCAGTGGAGAGAAAGTGGACGGCAGCATAGCAGGTCTTCCCAAAACCTGTAAAAACTCTGACATAGAGATGTAAGTTTTACAGATTTCAAGTCCCTCAGAGATGGAATGTCGTAGCATTTTGTTCAAGATGATGTTTTTAAAAAAAATCAAAAATCATGTGTGCTGCTGGTAAAAGTAATTTGTTTCTTGATAATACAAGCGAGAATAGCCAATCAGAGAAGGGAAAGCTTAACATTGAGTTTCGTGTATTTTGGTGGCCTATACTTTGTCAACGTGATGTCATCATCAATCAAGGACACAGAAGGCAGCACATGCATGTACATACATTTTATCACACTTAATGCCTTGTTGCCTGTCTGTCTGGCTATAGAGTGTTTTTGTACGTACAGTCTATCCTGTAATTGTGTGTGTGTTTGTGTTGATGTCTATCTCTGTGAGGACCCTGACACTTTACCCACCCTGTCTGTGATAAATGAGACAGCGAATGCAGCCAATGTGATTGCTGATAAATTTCATGCTCAGTGTCCATGTTGGCCAGCGAATAATTTAATCTGCCTTCGATTTATAAATGACTCTCTCTAGTGTCCGCCTGACTCACGCGCCCTCCCCTCTCCCCCCCCCGTTAATGCCCGTCCATGTGTGTTTGTGTGTGCGCAGGCTCTCGGAGGATTCCTCACTGACAAGTCTGGATGCACTTAAAGCTCGGATACGGGATTTGGAGAAACAGTTGTCTAAAGGAGACAGATTTAAATGTCTGATCTGCATGGTGAGTATGAAGGCAAATTAAAACGGATGGTCCTGTATAGGGACCTATTAGTGGTCATGCTGATTCAATGAAATATTAATGTTATGGTGATCGTGATTTGATCTTCCATGGTTGAGCCAATAAATAGTTTAAGATTGATGTAAACAATCTTGATCTTTAAATCTAGGTCTCACACCCTTTTGATTTTAACAGACTCATTGCTTTTGAAATGTTCTGTCATTTTGTCAGAGTTAATCTACTGAATCAAAATATAACAATGATCAACAAAACATTCCAGACATTAGCCTAATTGGGTAAAGAATACTTAAAAAAAAAAAAAAATGAAGTGTTGTTAGGAGAAGGTGTGGGATGACATACAGCAAAGGGCCGAGGTTTGATTTGAACCCGCAGCCTTAGCGATGTGGACTATTAGCTCGCGGCATAACTGCCAAGCTATCTGGCACCCCGACTCCTTGCATTTGCTCATTACAGATTCTGAGAACATGCAGTGCACATTATTATGACTTTATTGACATTTTATAAAGCAAATGATTTACTGATTAATAGAAAAGAAATACTGAATCTTCAAAGAAAAAAAAAGACTTGTATGACTGATATAAAGCTGTGCACATTAAATGTTAGTGGACATTATTCAATTAAAAGCCCAATAACACCTCTATAATGTACACATGCATACATAAATGTTGCATCTATCGCTTTTGTATTCAAGAAACAAATCAATGTGGCTTCAAAGTGATGGACCTCTCTTGCTACATTTAGGTTTTGAATTTTAGAGCAAATAGCAAAACAATATGTACTTGATCATTTATTTAAGTTTTTAACTGTTGTGTAATGTGCCATGTAACTCACTGCTGGTTCTTTCCTTTGTCGAAGAGGCTGCAGTAGAAGTTTGTAAAATATGGAGCACCTGTTAATGCGTTATTGTAGTTTCACATGGACATCTAGTGGCATCTTCTGGTACTACAGGCGACAATCATCTTGACCTGCATTTCTCTCCGCAGGACACATATACGACCCCGCTCACCTCCATCCAGTGCTGGCATGTTCACTGTGAGGAGTGTTGGCTTCGAACACTGGTGAAACATCACTTTTAAGATTTTTTTTTTTTTTTTTTGAAAAATATAGCCTAACAATAAAGTAATATAACAGAATAATCGTCATATTTGCTTTTTTTTTCTCTAGGGAGCAAAGAAGTTGTGCCCTCAGTGCAACACCATCACCTCACCTGGAGACCTGAGGCGGGTCTTCCTGTGACACATGGGAGGGGCCTCTTCTGTTTTTAACCAATCAAGGGTGGACCTGTGGACAGCTGGCCTGTCAAAGACTCACACCCCCTCCTCCTATTCCGCTTCCTCACAACTCCCTCGTTCTACCTGTTCATCAGTGTACTCCTAACATCCGCTGATAGACACCTGACCATTTAGGGGAACAGCAAGTGTGATCTCTACCTATCTTCACAGCCCTGTACAATATCCACGGCAACCCAACAGATGAAACATCGAACACCAACTCAGAGCTCAGGCACTAAATACAAGAACAAAACAAATGCTTTGGGATAATATAAACAGATTTTTGTAATTCTCTTTTTGTGTTTAACAAGGAAAACAAAACAATTGAATCACATTTTAAGCACATGTACATAATTTGTGTATGTTTGGATTGGTGTATGTATATTTTAACTAACCCGACTGGATTTGCTGTACAGATAGTCTCTGGTTAGATCATTCTTATTATTATTTGTTTAGCTTCTATAGTTTAGAAACATTTACAGTAATCTCTTCACTTTAAGGCTCTTTTTGTCTTTCTCATTTATGTGTTTCTTTGTATAGGTTCATTAAAACAAAGTTTATCAATGTTACTAAAATAAAACGTCTGTCTAAAAAGTTGTTTGTTCGATGTTTTTTAGCTGTGGAATTAGCATGAAAAACACAGTGTTGACTGTGTTGTTTATGCCCGTCTATAGCCTTTAATAATGTCTGTGTGGAGTCTTTAACCTTTAAGAAGTGGGTCGGTGTAGGATTAGCCAGGCCATCACAGCTCATAAGGAGTCAAGGGACGTTAAACCCTTCTATTCTATTCTGAGCTTTAACTGTGCGGCCTGTTCAAAATACAGGGGTCAATTACATCAAATGTCCACTATACTTCATAGAAGTATATTGTAATTCTGAGTCCAACAGCAGGCTGGATTTAGAGTGGCAGAACACCAAGCCAACAGCAAAGAGAAAGACTGGACCAGAGCATGCCACGACGCATGGATGCAGCCATTCAAAAATGTAGCAAACATCTCTTCTTCAGTCAAAACATTACTCTTCTGTTGTTTAAAAATATTTATGATGCATCATTTCCACTCTGAAATAAACTCCACCTCTTTTTCTAACTAGTTATTATTTTCTGCAAATTAAAAGCCTACATGAGAATATGTTATTTGGTAGAAGAACCAGAGAAAACATATTTTTGCATAAGTTTCAAACCTCATTTTTTTCCAGAGCTGTACAATATGTTTGATTTCTAACAACCATACAAAGACAATACAAGTAATATGTAGAATTTGCCTGATTAACCTTGACAGGATTTTTGGTTCAAAGTTAAAAAATCTGGTACTTACCAAACGATTCTCAATTTTACGTATTCCTAGTACACTGTACAAATTTAAACTGCGAAATAACCTTTGTTTATGAAAATATTGAACCTTTTTATTGCATGCTTTTGTGTCATGTATGGGTGGTGTGGATAAACACAGGCCAGCTTGCACACACGTGATTGGTCAGATTGCTGAAGAGAGGTGGTGGTAATTCACTCTGACAGTGAGCTTCTTCAGTTAATCAGTGTGACACACCCACACACACAGATACACACACATATTCATCATACTCAGTCCATTGAAGAGCCGGGCTGAAGAATCACCTGCTATTGAACATTTCTGCGACACAGACAGTACAGAAGGTAATTGAGAAGGTAAGCTGGAACCTTTGCCTTGTTGAAATCCAGGATATGGCTGAATTACTACATTTATTTTTGAAAAAATCCTAAAACATAAAAAATATATATATATATATAAAACCAACATTCTTAAACTCAAAACTGAACTAAAATTTCAAAAATGCCTTACACTTGTATTGTGTTTTTCAGCAGTTTATATTGTTTTAGATTTCTTTTAAAGCCCTACACCAGTGATTGAGTTAGTGTGCAGTAAATGTAGTGTTATTGAGGAAATCATGCAATTTAGAAATGAGGCTTATTAAGCAGTTTAGCGTATTTAGGTGATAATAGCAAGTAATCAGTTTATAACTTTTTTATGATCTGAAACAG